AAAAAAAAAAAAAATCTGATTTTTCTACTTTAATAAAGTTAACATTTAAAACTTTCTAATTATGTCTATAATGCTTAGGAAGGAGCATTTATAGTCACTTAAGACTTGTAATTCTTGGGAGAAAAAATAACATACAATAAACATACTAAAAAGTCCAGAGAATCTTATTATATCTTACCTTGTCAATTTTATCATTAAAGGTTGTGGTTTTCAATTTCTTCCAGCAGTTCAAGTGAAATTCTATTTTACAGTACTGGCAACAGCTGATACGTATAAAACCCTAGGATTTCAAAAAAATTTAATTCACATTTTAAGATGTCTTTGCGCACACACACACTCAAAGCACACAAATTAAGGGAGCTATGTTCACTAGGCAGATATAACTAGACATCCTCCTCACGAGAGAGTATAATACTTCTGTACTCCAAAATGCCTACTGCCAGAGATTAGAACTTGACTGACATAATCATTTCCACAGTATATAGTTATATTATTTATTCTTTACAATGTGTCAAATATTTTACAAACACTATTTCATCTGATTAACTCACCAGAGACAGTGGGATAGTGGGCAGCTACTATGTTCTAGAATAAATAAATTAACCACTCATTCAATTAAGTGCCAGACTTGATTTCAAATTTAGGTTTCTAGGGGCTAATTCAGTGCTCACAATGGCTTTTACATTCTTGGACTCAAATTTTACAGGAAAACAGAATTCCAACAAATCCAAGGTAACAATCTCATTTTAATCCTAAGGACTAGGTGGTTACATAAAACACTAGCTAGAAGGAAGAGAAGGTATCAGCTAGCCTTGTCTCTCAGGTCACAAGCCCATAGTGTTTATTTGGTGGCTCTGGGTGCCCATGTGAAATGGTGCAGACCTAAAGAAGTCCAGGGGAAGGAGTGGACACAAACTGCTAGGTAGCCAGGGAAACTGGGTGCTTTTAATTACACAATGTGTTCTGAATCCATCTTGAGGCATACTTTTACAAGTGAACGTCCCATGGTACCTCCATTATTACCTTAAAGTCTGGATCAGTTATGTATATCTGTATTTTGGAATATCCACGGCATTTCTGATAGCAACAAATGGCATCTGGCACTGGAGGGAATTTGCATTCTTCAACAAATTTCTCTAACAGCATCTAAAACAGAATAAACAAAAATGATACAATTACAAAATTAATTTGTCAACAAAAATGCTTGTGATTTCAAAAGCCTCTTGCCAGAAAAATATTTTCAGCATACAAATGGCTAAATTCTTTTAGCCAAGAACAAACCATACAGAACTTTTGACATTTTTCCTTTTAAAAAGAGGCTGATACAGAGATAACAGGAGAGGGATGTTGAAAAGAAGAGGACTGAACAAAAATCGTTATTTCAGAATTTCAGAGTCACAATCAAAATCTTCTCCTCTGTTATAATCATCAAACCTCATTTTGTAATTTATAGCTCTTAATGAATGCCCAAACTACTATTTGTGTATCTTCTTTGCAGAAGTGTCTGTTCAGATCCTTCTACTTTTTTTTTTTTTTTTTAAAACAGAGCCTCAAGCTGTCACCTGGGTAGAGTGCCGTGGCATCACAACTCACAGCAACCTCCAACTCCTGGGCTCAAGCGAGTCTCCTGCCTCAGCCTCCCAAGTAGCTGGGACCACAGGCACCGCCACGATGCCCGGCTATTTTTTGGTTGCAGCTGTCATTGTTGTTTGGCGGGTCTGGCCTGGATTTGAACCCGCCACCTTAGGTGTATGTGGCTGGCACCTTAGCCACTTGAACCACAGGTGCCAAGCCAGAACCTTCTACTTTTTAATTATTTCCCAAGTATTCAAGAACCATTTCATAACTGTGGTAATTATGAAGAAACAATGATGCTGTACCTTCCTCTAAATATTACCAGTACAGCATTATCATTTGATAACACACACTCTAGATTCAAATCCCAGCACCACCATTTGCTTGCTATTTTACCTTGAGCTCATCACATAACCTGTCTAAACTTCATCTTCCTCATCTATAAAGTAAGAATGATTGCAGTATCCATCTACTAAGTGAAAGGTATGTGACTGGCACATAGGAAACATCAGTGATTCTCCTTAGACTTCAAAGGAGATATGCAGATGGGGAGCTTGGGACAGAGTATATGCCTACCTCTTTGTCTTCTGATACCTAAGTCTGTCAGTGCTGATGAGCTTTTATAGGTAGTAAGAAATTTCTACAGAAATAAAGTTACCTTTATTTTCTCTGGCTGAGACTCTTCAATAATCACATTACTTGTGGGCCAAGTTAACACTCCAGGAAGACGATAGATCAAGGTTTTCGCTTTCTCAAAGTGATTGAGAGCTTCTAGAAATCTAAAGTCATGATTACGAAGAAAGACAGTATTAAAGATGTGCCATGATATTTTCACCCACCACAATGAAAGCCATCAAGACCTCAAGCTTATTGGGAAGAGTGTATTTGATAAATCGTGCCACAGAAATATTCAATATAGGCTAAATTTTCTTTAAAAAATGGAGGCACTGTTGTTTGCTATGAAAGTGATACACATGAACTCTCTCCTGGACACTGGCTTTAATATAGTAGGTCCATACTAGTCCTTTTAAAGTTGTAACTTATTTTTCTTTTTTCTTTTTTCTTTTTTTTTGAGACAGAACCTCAAGCTATCCCCCTGGGTAGAGTGCCATAGCATCACAGCTCACCACAACCTCCAACTCCTGGGCTCAAGCGAGTCTCCTGCCTCAGCCTCCCAAGTAGCTGGGACCACAGGTGCCCGCCACAACAGCCGGCTATTATTTTGGTTGCAGCCGTCATTGTTGTATGGTGGGCCCGGGCTGGATTCGAGCCCGCCACCTTAGGTGTATGTGGCTGGCACTTTAGTCGCTTGAGCCACAGGCGCTGGGCCAAAGTTGTAACTTATTTTTAAAGTTTCCAACAATTAAAACAGAAACTGAACAATTTGGCTGTCCATTTTTGTTTCATTAACTAAGCTAATTAGATTCTTGTAGAGAAATAACAATCCTCTACTCCATCTAATTAATTGTTAATAAGGGAATTATTTTTATTAAATTTGGCCCCTTTTTATTAAATTAGAATATCTATAATAAAAATTTCTCTCTGCTGAAAAAAATCTTAAAAGTGCCATGTATTCTGGATGTAAGTAAATTATTTTAGCAAAACAAATGTGTATTTAAGTTGCTTTAACTAAAAATACAAAATGCTTTTAGCTAAGACTTGATTCATGGTTTAAAGAAATGTCAACAGATTCCCACATTCCATTCAACAAAAGAATACTAACATACTGAATTATAAAGTTAACTCTTTATTCTCCTCTTCGGATTGGAGAAGAAAGAATGTTTACTGCTTTTCTCCAATCTTGAAATGATATTTCAATTAAAAAACTTATTTTTGCCTATAGGCATAGAAACACTTATGTGTAGAAGAGGAAGAATACCATCCACCAGTTAGGAAGAGTAGGACTTTCAACTAGAAGCTATACATTAGAATGCAAAATGTAGCGCACTAGACATTTAATCCCACATATTATCTAGAAATTAAAATGTAAAGCATTTCAACATGAGCAAAACTTTTCAAACCACAATCCCCATGATTTTAAACATTGTTATATTTCTAGACCTTTTGAAAATCTGCACATGACCAAGGCATTAGTTAGAGTCATTAGCTATTACTATAACTAGTAATGGTACTAGCAGTACTTAGTAATAGACAGTACCTTCATGAAGTAAAGGAACTTGCTTTAATCCTTAAAAATCTATAAAGAAGGCTTAGACACACTTTAAGATTGAGTCCCAAAAGTCTCATAAAATTTCCCCTAACAAATTAGATGAGACAATAAGGGTAACTGAAAGTAATGAATGATATTCAATTAGTCAACAATTACCTCTTTATAAAGTAACCTATTATACCTACCACTTTATTGGGTACATGTGGTAGGAACAGAGATTTTTTTTTTTTTTTAAGACAGTCTCACTATATCGCCCTGGGTAGAGTGCCATGGCATCACACCTCAAACTGTTGGGCTTAAGTAGTTCTCTTGCCTCAGCCTCCCAAGTAGCTGGGACTATAGGTGCCCGCCACAATGCCCAGCTGTTTTTTTTGTTGCAGTTGTCATTGCTGTTTAGCTGGCCCAGGCTAGGTTCGAACCTGCCAGCTTCAGTGCATGTGGCTGGTGACGTAACCACTACGGGCACCGAGCAGGGGAACAGAGATTTTTATTTTAAAGTTCAAGACATACAAGGGTAAGTGTAAAATTTATTAAATGTAGAATATAAATGTCTTAACACAATAACTAAGAAAATGCTATGAAGGCTATGTTAACCAGTTTGATGAAAATATTTCAAATTGTATATAAAACTAGCACATTGTACCCCATGATTGCATTAATGTACACAGCTATGATTTAATTAAAAAAAAAAGATTCAAGACATAATCCTGCTCTCTAAGGGTCATATAACCAATTTGGGAAGACAAAACTAAGACACAAAACATTTACAGAACTGCTACTTATTAAACTTGAGTAAGGAGGTTCCAACTGTATCAGAGCTCAGAAGAGATTTTTATTCCTAACTCATGATGTCTCTAAACATTCACATGCCTCTTATTAAAACCATCTCCATACAGATTTTGTAAAACAGGTAACTGAAAAAACTATACAATCAGATTTTTAAATTATTAATCTACACGAATTCAGTAACTACTTACAGAGGATTATATTAGAGAATATTAAATCCTCATGTCTAATTACTCTATTTTTGACTTTCTTATTAGATTGAAAATTAAGAAGCATCAAAAAATATACCCACTGGCCTTGTTATAATAATTAGTATCAGTAACGAAACACTGGGTCCTCAAGGTCAATCACAATCAACACCGTGCCACAGAGAAGAATCCAAGTCGTCCCAGAAAAGGAATCATCACATTAGACTTTGAGTGAGTTTTCAGCTTGAAGCTTAAAGTAGTATTGTTTCTACTGACCTGTTTTTCTTCAAATATACTTTTCCAATTCCACAGTAGGCCAAGCAATCAAGGCCCTCATTGGGGTAGTGTTCAATAATCCTCTTGAACTGGTTTTCAGCTTCAGATAATTCCTTCAGTAGTAGTGAAAACAATGATCACTTACACAAAAAGAGAAATGCTGGAACAGATTTTATCTGAAGGATGACTTTTTATGTAACATTGAAATAACAATTATATATTTCCAAATTCCTGTGACAAATTATACCTTCTGCATTTCATTTTCTTAGGCATTATATAAATTTGTGATCATATTCAAAAACACAATGAAATCGACCCTCTTGAATACATCAGACAACCGGCTATGCGAGCATTTATTGTTACACACTAAGTATCTGGGGTATGCTAATATTTTATTTTTTATTTTATATATTTTTTAAGAGGCAGGATCTCATAGAGTAGAGTGGTATGATAATAGCTCATTGCAACCTGGAACCTCTGGGTTCAAGTGATCCTCCTGCCTCAGTTTCTGAAGTAGCTGGGACTACAAGTGCCAGCCACAACACCCCAGCTTGACTAATAACAGAAGTTGTAAATTCCCGGTAAAAAAGACTGATTTGGGTGCAAACACACTATAATTTATATCTTAGTAAGTGCTAGTCCCTGCTCCCTGGGAAGGACTGACATCCCAATGGGATTAATGGAAGACATTCATCAAGAAAAAGGAGAATGAGCCCCAGGCACTTTAACCACTGGGAAAGAGGAAAACGTAAAAGACAACTTAGATGTGCATGGGGGAGTAACTCAGGGCTCAGCCTCATTTAGCCAGGCAGGACTGGAACCCAAGCTGGTAGAAAGGATATATACTTGAAGTCATTCTAGAGGATTTAAATATTTGCAAAAATTCCTAAACCAAGAAAAGCAAAGTTATAATGCCAAACAGTGGAGGTGAATAAAAATTTCAAGGGAGCAAGTAAAGAGCATAATTAATGGGAATCAGGGAAGCTCACATAGTAACTGTATGTGGTTCCAAGAAGCCTACACTCTAGAAATAAAATCTTCAAGTACTTACCACCCAGAACTAAGAGATATCAACATCATTTGTATTTTTATTTTCCCAGAAAAACAGTCCAACACAAAGTTGAAGTCTCCTTTCTGAACCTCCCTAGCCCATTTCCTCCTCCCATAACTAAAGGCAACCAGTACCTTAAATTTGAGATGGAGATAGTCCACATTTTCTTTATAAGATGCACAGATATCCATAAACAATATATAGTATTGATTCTATATGCTTTCAAATTTTTATATAAGTAGGATCATGTTTATGTTCTTCAACTTGCCTTTTTCCTCAATATTATGTTTGGCCTAGGATAGCCT